AACGGTTTCCCGTTACTGTTGAACCACTCATAATAATCCTCAGCATACATCAAGAAGTCAGTAAAAATGGGCTCTCTACGTGGAAGGCGCCGATGTCGATCATCCCACAACACGACCCACTCATGTTGCCTCACCAGCCAATCTGTATCTGTCTTGCAGCGTCTATCTAAGCTATGCAACTCATCCATATTACGAGGTGCTTCCGGAATTGGTTGAAAGCAACCAAACTGTCGGAGCACGCGATCAGTGGAGTGCCACTCGACGGTCGCATAACAGATCAGAGGGACCATCGCCATCCAAACATCTAATGGACCCCTCAACTCAGGTGGGATCACCGTCTTCACATCATCAGTAGAATATGACACCCATTCAAACTAAAACAAATAATATATATTTTTTATCAAAATAATAATCTAATTATATAACTATAATCTAAAATCGATTTTCAAACATTAAAATTCATACTGTGTGCCAGCCTTCTGATCGATTAGCACCCTAATCTTTTCTAAATCATCAGGTAGCTCCTGATGATTTTTCCTATCAGTAGACCACCTATTTAAGGAAAAAAATTTGTTATACGCTGTATAAAATTATTAATATACAAAATCAGTTTTATAATTACCTCAGAAGTAGTGGAAATACGAATGGGTTTTTCACAACGGGACATAAAAAGGGCAATCGATACCATGCCCAAGACTGCAGCAGCAGGAGACATCCGCCGATAGCATTACGCCTATAGTCAATGGCTCCACACATCTCCCTGTACAGTAAAGCCAAAACTGCCGAGCCCCAACTGAATGATCCGGCGAGACGAAAGTCGCTAAGATGTCGCAACCACATGCAGTGAACTAGGTTGCGCGATTTGTCCGGCATCAGCAACCCTCCTATCAGCTGCAGTATGCATGCCCGTGCATACATCTTAACCTCATCCTCAGAGGCGTCTGCGCTCAACTCCAAAAAATTGGCATCTAACCAATTTAACGGTATCCTACCTCCGATAAAATTTTCCGGGACACGTCCTAGACTATCCCGACACAAACCAGTCCAAGAACTGGAAGCTATCCCCGATATCACATCTCCATCCACCGGAAGTCCCAGGTGCATAGAAACATCCTCAAGCGTGATCATGCACTCTCCACACGGAAGATGGAATGGGTGGGTCTCCGGCCTCCACCGCTCTACTAAGGCAGAAATCAGTTCTGGCTCTATCTTACAGTGACCCTGGTATCTACCTATGTAACCGAATCCAGCCTCTACTAAATACGGCAAGACACGACTGGGTATCACTAACTTAAGATTCCTAATAAAAGGATCTAATACACGGTCATTCTCCTAAAAATAAATAATTACAAAAATTAATTCTTAATCTAATAATCATGCATTAAATGAATCAACTAATTATTAATAATAATTTAAATTAAATTAAAACGTTAAAATGTTAGTATCAGTAAAGTGTCGAGATATTTAATTATTAATATAATAATCATGCATTAAATAAATAACTAAATATTACTAATAATTTAAATTAAATTAAAATGTTAAAATGTTACCGTATTAGCAAAGTATAGAAATATATGATTTCCATCCGAGCGAAGTAGACTGCCTTCTATTATATATCTGCAAAAGAATTATATTAGTAAAATATTAATAAAGTAAAAATATAATAGTAAAAATATTATAAAATATACCTTAAAAAGAGAGTATTTGAGAGAAATTTAGAGAATTTGAGAGAATTTGGTGTGATAAAATTGATTGACAATGGGGGTATTTATAGGGAGGAGGGGTCAGTAGTTAGGGGTATAGCGCCCCCCAGCACCGCGCTATACCCCACGTGTCAGATATACATGTATAGCGCGGTGCAGGGGGCGCGCTATACCCCACGTGGCGCCAAATCATCGTATAGCGCGGTGTAGGGGGCGCGCTTTACTGCTAAGGGTGTTAGATCGGGAAATATAATCTAACCGGTGTTAGATCGATAATATTACCGGTCACCGGTGATATATCGAGAAAATCACCAACAACAACGTGATAGATCTGAATCTCCCACCACTTGCGTCCAGGCGAGTTAATGACTGTGGGGTCAAAGAGAGCAGAGGTAGATGCTGGGGTGACGTGTTTTTAGATTACGTGGCAACTATAGGATTCTTCTAATTTGTAAGGGGTGTTTGATTCAATTCATCTCGTATTATCGAGAAATGGAGAATTAAATGTCATTCTCCTCTTTGATTGATAAACATTCCCAGCCTCAATAATATTTTATTTCTAATAATGATATTTTGAGAGTATATTATTAGAAATGTAAATATTATCTTTCTTTAAGTATTGTTATATTACTAATATTTTATATTAAAATGTTCTTAATTTTTTTTAAAAAAAATATCTTTCTTTTATCATAAAATAAAAAAAATATACGAAGATTAAATTACAAATTTATCTTTAAACTATTTTAGATTTATAAAAAAATCTATAATTAAAATTTTATATGAAGTTCAGATGTTAAAATAAAATTTTACTCTTACATTAAACATATTTATTTTTTTAATTTTATAAAAAAAATTATATAAATTTTATGAATTTAATTTTTTTAAAAATATATATAAATTAATTATAGTAATATTATAATATAATTTAACTTGTTAAAAAAATAAATATATAATAAGGACAATTTGATAAAATATACATTTCAATAATCTTTATTCTTTTAACCAAACACTATATATAAAATATAACATTCTTAGTAATTTTATTTTCGTCAATAATCTTATTTCCTCTGATAATCTTATATTTCGTGAGCCAATTAAAATAAAGATCAAAGAAATTTGTAACCGATCAATCTTTTCTTATCACAAAGAAGGAGCATGGGATGTGGGAACCCTCCACATGATGCTCTGCATTTTCTATCGTTTATTGAGACGGGAGCCTAAAATGGTACAGTTTTTTGGGGTCCACTTTTGTCTGTGCATTGACATAAACCCTTTTTTATTCAGACCTCCTTAAGTGTTCATCAGCCATGCGTTGGCTCGGATAAAAGCTCTGATCTTTTTGTTTGTAGAGCTTCCCATCAGTCATTTTAAAGTAGTAACCTTTCTCCTTTTTGGGTTCTTACTGCCACCCAAATCATGCTAAGATAGGCCCATACTTGAAATATATATATATATAGCTCTAGTATGGCAAGTGATTGAAGCACATGATGACAGTAGAATCTTATGTTTCAACCAAATCATCAAATAATTTGCCCAAATTTCAGGACAAACTTGAACGAGTTCAGCTTCATGAAGCTATTTGCATGTTCAACACCAGTTTTACTATCCAGCAAGAAACATACACTAATGGTGATGATGCATCACCAATAATAAATAATAACTCGCATGCACCTCCAAGATATACTACAAATCTTAAAGGAGCAAGCTTCATGTGATTCCTCAGTATCCTATGTATATTCCAGAAATAGCCGTTTGTACTTACAAGGAAGTTCTTTCTTCGTCCATCTCTCTTTGGTGCTGTCAATGGCATTTCCCCCCCCCCTGAATATACAATGGATTCAGTTGGTTACGCCTCCTTGACAGAAATCAAGAATTCACAGTGATATTAATGAACGAACAACAATTGAGCAGAGATTAAGAATGTAGTTTAGGGATTTTAACTAAATGTAATATTGACTTTGAAAAGAATAATACTGAAATATTATTTGCTTGAGATGGGTAAGGCCCAGTACAATTCTTAACAGAATTGTAACCTCCTGTCAACCGGTTTAGTTACACAACCTGCTTAGCTATTATACTCTGTTATTATCCTGGTTCTTCTCCCTTCACCCTTTTGAACATTCATTGAGATCAAAATTCCAAGCTTATCTCCCATGAAAGCAAATGAGCTTGGAGGAATAGGCTTAGTAAGCAAATCTGCAAGCTGTTCTACAGAGGGAATGAAAGTTCACAACAAGTTTTTCAGCAATCACCCTTTCCCGAACAAAATGTATGTCGATCTGGACATGCTTCATTCTAGCTGGTGAGTTGGATTAGCTGCCATAGAAACAGTAGAGGTGTTTTCACACCACACAACAGGCTTTCCTTCTATAGTGACTCCAATTTTAGTCAAGAGCTGCTCAACCCATATAAATTCTGATACAGAATTTGCAAGGCTCCTGTACTCAGCTTCTGAAGTGGATCTAGATACGACAGACTGTTTCTTGGAGCACCAAGTCACTAGATTTCCTCCTAGATACACGCAATATCCTGTTGTTGAGCGACGGTCTTCAACAGACTGTTGGCTTCAAGAAAACCAACTGCATCATGCGCGATGAATGACCACCACACTAGCAAATAGAAATGTGACCCTTTTCCATGCATCTCTTGATGATGAGAATACTCATTGTTTGTAGCTAGAACTGTTAATCTTGCTCGAAAGTAATGCATTATCCTTGGAAACTGAACTTAACACGGTTTCACTGTTGCTTGGTTGGCTTTCTGCAACACCGGGTCTCACCCAGACTTTTATGTGCCCCTCTCGACAAACAGTACAGATTCCGGGGTAAAAATCAAGCCTGAGAGGGGTTCGGTATGAACACGATGACCAACCAGTGGGCGAAATTTTCGGAACATCTCGAATGCTTGGGGCAGGTTGCAGGGCACCGAACGGGCATACAATGTCCCAGTGGGACGATTGGCTCCCGGTGTTGTAAGTGGGAGATCCATCATGAGGGGATGATACAATGGCACAACCATGTGAAACAACAGCCAGACTAATATCTAGGTGCAAAGGCAGGTCCTATGACTATCATGGCATTAACTGTAATGTAATAAAAGACACATATAAACAAGAAGGCCTGCAAAACTAAGAAAGTCTGAAATATACAGGCACCTACTACAAATATACACATGACAGAACCATTGATGGCCTCTGGATTTGGATGATGGTTTTGAGGTAAAGACTACCAATGTTCAGGAGGCATGCAAAACTAAGAAAGTTTGAAATAGTTTTCCAAAATAAACAGTGACCGGTACCTTACTGTGTCGTGCAAGCGCAACAGAAAATTGAATTTGGTCTTTGATAACAGAGAATGAAGAATCGCCAGCACCATCCTTGTTCTAGAGGGCAAAAAATGAAACAAATTTTTTTTTTAAATTAACTTACTGCATAGAAGAACATCATGAAATTTGAAAGTTGAACTCCCAGAAATGGAAAAAGCCTTGTTTAATTATTTGAAACTTGCCTTTTTCATTATCACACATATTTCCATCAGCATGAGCAACAAAAAGACACCATCACCTCCATGAGCAACCATCAACCATGCCCATCCAGATCAAACGCATGGCAGACAGGGTTTCAGCCATTGAAATGGATCGACTTTATTGGATCCTACATTAAACATCATGATTCTTAAATTCATCAAAACCCTTAACAACAAAACCCAAAATTACCTTATCCTGAGAATTCAAAACACTTACCGACATTGAACATTAAGTAAGTTGCTTTCCCATTAAAATTCGTATTAGCCATTGAATTCAACCCAAGAAACCCAATACTGAAACATGAGTATAACCCCAAAAATTTCTCTTCATTCAGTGTTAAGTAATATCCGACTTTATAAATAAAACATCAACTAAAGTCCTTGAAATTTAATCAACCACAACGTTCAAACTAACTAATAATAAAAACTGGTTGATGGAATAAATAAGTCATGACCACGGTAGACAATTTATCTTATTTATTTGGGTGAAGTGTCATAATTAGTATTTATGTTGGCCGACAATGATGAGTTCAGAGAGACGAAGAACAGTCGTGAATTGGAACCATTCTAGAAGAAGAAAAAAATCATCTTCCTTACATGTCATTGAAATGTATATATCCACTTATTGTACATATTTGTATCGGGTTTGAAGTATAAATACGATAATTAATTAGTAGATTTGATCTTGATAAATCTCTTGAATTTATTAAATTCTTGTTAAAAGGTTTTTGATAGACGAAAGACTTTCATTGTGTGAGAATCCCTTGACATGGTTCGAAGCCAAATGCATCCTTATTATTTGAGAAAAATGTTAAATTTACTTTAATGTGAAAAGAAAAAAAAAATTTGCATACATGTTATTTTTGAAAAAAGAAAATTAAAATTTTGAACTAAATTCTTAAATTTCTATATCTTCTATTAGATCTAATAAATAGACCGAGGAATTTGTATCTAGCTCATATCTATAGAAGTATGTCATATTTACAAGGTATAATATTTATAACTGTTGATGAAAATAGATGAGTTAAAATAATTGTATACGGTTTATTCTTTTAATTTACACACAAAACTAGAAATATAACCAATAATTAGAGGAATATTTTATAAACATGACAAAAATACCGATGAAATTTTTTAATATTAATTATTTCAAAATTTAAAAAAATAATAAGCCAAAAAGTAATAAAATTAATATGAATTTTAGCATAAAAAAGGATAAATTATGTATTTAGTACTTAAACTATTAGTTTTGATTCGTTTTAGTACTTAAATTTTTATTTTTTTAAACTATGCTTAAAGCTTAGTTTTTATTTCATTTAGTACCCACACTAAAAACTTTAGTTTTTGTTTTATTTTAATACCTCATTCAAAATTTAACGTTAAGTTTTGAAAAAATTGAAACTTTAGATACTAAAACGACTAAAATTGATAGTTTAAGTACTAAACATATTAAGCTTTTAACGACAGGTACGAAAATGAAATAAAAACTAAACTTTAGGTATGATTTTGAATTTTTTTAAAATTTAGGTGTAAACTGATAAAACTTATTTAGGTACTAAATGTGTAGCTTACTCAAAACAAATACACGATATATAAAAAAGGCTTATATAAGCAAATAAAGTATATTATCTTTTTCATTTAAGCACTTGAAGTATTTTTATCAAAATAAGTATCTAAAGTTATTTTTTGATCAAAATAAATACGTAAAGTTTTTTGTCAAAATATATACCTAAAGTATTCAATTTTTTTCATCTAAATACTAAAGTATTCTCTAATTAATATTACATGTCAACTCTTTTAAAACTTAGATGAAAAGTTTAAGTAATTTAGTCCATATTTTGTTTAAAAAGATAACTTGAGATATTTATTTAATAAAAAATACTTTAAATATTTAAATAAAAATATAATATATTTTAGATACTCGTTTACAATATAATCAGTATAAGAAATATTATACTGATAAGTTTTTTTAAGTAAAAATATTTACTTAATGAAATAATAATAATTTAAAGGGGTTTCTTTAATACATTTTCCCTTTCTGAGTCACGTGCACCTGAATCTACTTATAAAAAAAGAGTGATGAAACGAAACTCTGTGAGGTCAAGGAAAAGAAAAAGGTTACAATTTTTTTCATTTCATTATCAGCGACAAAGGAGAACGGGCCGTTGCAAAAATCCACGTGTCGCCTTGTTCACCCGCCTGTCTCCTTCACTCATCTTTCCCCCTGGGTTCTTTCACTCTTTTCCTCCTCATTATTCCTTGTTTGTTTCCTCAGCTTTCCTTGTTTTAATCCGAAGGAAAAATATTCTCTTCTTTCAAAAGCTCTTGAAATTTCAGTTTTTTGCCTTCAATAAATCCCTCTACCCAAACAAGGAACTGTTATTATTATCTTCCTTTTTTTTTCTTTTTAATGGGGGTTCGACAATTACCAGAATCTGAACCAAAATAATGTTGCCCTTTTCTTACAAGATCAAATCCATTGTTTCCCTTAGTTTCTTCTGTTATGTCGGCACAATCTTTGGAACAACGGAGTTTGATTTCGGGACATTAACTCTCAGCAGTCTAAAACTCCTCGGCGACGCTCACTTAAACAACGGGAGCGTCAGTCTCACTCGAGAACTCGAAGTTCCTTACTCCGGCTCCGGCAGAGTTTTGTATTCGAAGCCGGTGAGATTCCGGCAATCCGAAACCAACACCCCTTGTAGCTTCTCCACTTTCTTCTCCTTCTCCGTCACCAACCTCAACCCTTCCTCCATCGGCGGCGGTTTAGCCTTCGTCATTTCCCCCAACGCGGAATTCGTCGGCGCCGCCGGCGGATCTTTGGGTCTCCTCGATGAAAAGGGTCAAGGCCTGGGGTTCGTCGCCGTGGAATTCGACACTCTAATGGACGTTGAACTCAAAGACATTAATGGAAACCACGCTGGGCTGGATCTTAACAGTGTGGTTTCTTCTCAAGTTGGCGATTTGGGAGCTGTGGATATTGATCTGAAGAGCGGCGATCTCGTTAATTCGTGGATAGATTACGATGCTTTGTCGAATGCTTTTAATGTCTCTATTTCGTATTCGAATTTGAAACCCAAAGAACCCATTTTATCATCGACTTTGAATCTCGGCCAGTATGTGAATGATTTCATGTACGTTGGGTTTTCGGGCTCAACCCAAGGCAGCACCGAGCTTCACAACACATAGAATGGTGGAGTTTTAGCTCTTCTTTCGAGTCAAATTCAGGGTCAGCATCATCTCAGCCGCCGTCGCCAACGACTACTTTAATGAACCCAACAGCTAATACACCGCCGCCTTCATTGGCTCCTTCAGGTTCCGATTCCAGTTCCACCGCTCAAGGAAAGACCAGTAAGTCATCTTCTTGCCATAACCAGCTCTGCAAACAAGGTCCAGGGGCGGTCGCCGGAGTGGTAACTGCCGGAGCTTTCTTTTTGGCCTTATTTGCGGCGGCTCTAATCTGGGTTTATTCTAAAAAGTTCAAAAAAGAGAGAAGATCCGAGTCTTTTACGTCGGAGATCATCAAATCGCCAAAGGAATTCACCTATAAAGAGCTCAAAGAAGCCACGAGATGCTTCAATAGCAATAGAATAATCGGGCACGGCGCCTTTGGGATTGTTTATAAAGGTATTTTAGCTGATAATGGCGACATTGTGGCAGTAAAGAGATGCAGCCATAGTAGTACTGAAGGGAAGGCCGAGTTTTTGTCTGAATTATCAATAATCGGGGACTCTTAGGCATCGAAATCTCGTGAAATTGCAAGGATGGTGCCATGAAAAAGGAGAAATTCTGTTAGTTTACGATTTAATGCCCAATGGGAGTCTCGATAAAGCATTGTATGATGCTCGAACGCCATTGCCATGGGTTCATAGGCAGAAAATAGTCTTAGGCGTTGCCTCTGCATTGGCCTATTTGCATCAAGAGTGTGACCATCAGGTTATCCATAGAGATGTCAAGACCAGCAACATAATGCTCGATGAAGGGTTCAACGCAAAGCTGGGCGATTTCGGTTTAGCAAGGCAAGTTGAGCACGATAAGTCCCCGGATGCCACGGTAGCAGCGGGCACGATGGGGTATCTGGCACCCGAATATCTCCTAACTGGACGAGCCACTGAAAAAACCGACATATTCAGCTACGGCGCGGTGGTTCTCGAGGTGGCTAGTGGGAGGCGACCTATCGAGAGAGACAGCATAGGCAATAGTCTGAAATGCAATACCAATTTGGTGGAATGGGTTTGGGGTTTGCATCAGGAAGGGAGATTGTTAAGCGCGGCTGATCCGAGACTCGAAGGCGAGTTCGAGGAGGGTTCAATGAGGAGGGTACTAATGGTGGGATTAGCTTGTTCGCACCCCGACCCGATGTCTCGACCCACAATGAGGGGTGTGGTCCAGATGCTGGTGGGTGAAGCCGAGGTTCCCGTGGTCCCAAGAACCAAACCTTCAATGAGTTTCACCACTTCTCATCTGTTGTTGAGCCTGCAAGATAGTGTTTCGGACTGCAATGGCGTGGTTACCGTCTCAAGTTCGTCATCGGAAAATAGCTACATTGGCCCTGAACTTGTGTAAATCAAAGGACATAGACTCAACAATGTTTTTGCATAGACTCATCTGCTAATAAATTGTAAATCCGGATTCATATTAGAGTTGGAGGCTGTTTGGGGACAAAGAAAATGGTTGGTAGGGGTCCACTTTTAGGTATAGTAGAGTGGAGGATTTTTCGTTTATGGGGTTGGGTGGCTGTTTTCCCAAGCAATCCCCAATTGTCAAAAGCCGACACTAGAAAAGATTATAAGATAAATTCCGCTTACCACATTTCTTAGTAAATAAAGAGTAGATAATTATTTTAAAATTATTTTA